CTCTCAGACTGAGAGGACCTGAGGCCGGTTGTGGGTTGTGTGAGACCCACATTCAATTTTTTTGACCAGTTGACTTGTAGAATAATAATACTGTAAGAATTTTGGCCATCCATTAGAATTAGAGCTACTTTCCATGTATTTTCTAAGACGTACGTAACCGACCACAATTTTGGATTAACAAATTAATCCCAAAACAAGAAAAACAAAAAAACCCAATTGACTGATCAATTTATTCTGCCTGATACAACAATTTCATCGTCACTATGTATTATCTTGTTTTTATTTTCTGTCAGTTTCAAAAACAAAAAAAAAAACAGTTGGTTTCAAAATAAATTGTTTTTTAAAAGCAAAACATAGAAAACGTGTACTTGATTATATATGTTTTTTATTTTTTCTTTTGTTTTTAAAACTGAAACCAAAAACATCATCTAATTATGTAATATCATGTTTCTTAAATTATATAATTTCTATACTATAAAATTTATTTTTATTTTTTCTTGTTTTAAAAAACACCATGTTTTCTACTTTTGAAAACAAAAGTAATAATGAATACGAGTAGGGTCATTTGTCAGAAAATTAGGAGACTTAAAAAACTAAAAAAACAAAAGTAATGAATACAATATATATGCTTGGACTTGATCATTCAGCTTAGCCGGGGTAGTTTCAAGAATCAGGTGTTTTGTGTTATCAAGGAATACAATATTTTAATAATATAATAAAGCTCCATTGATGGTTCAAAGTGTCTTAATCGTGGTCTACACAGATATTTCCATTGTTATATGCTTCACTGGGCTTTGCTAATAAGCTTATGACTACATAGAACCTTGACATGATATTATAAGCTGATTTGTAATAGGAACAGACATCCATGTTGGAGTACCATCTCATTTCACATGCAAATATTCATGTACAAAATCCAAAAAATAAATATAAACATGTATATTAGAGAATAAAAATCTTTAATGGTTTTTTACAATGTTTTCGAACTGTTTTGATCGGATCATTCGGCCTGAGAATCATTCAGGCAATTGGTTTCATTTTATCCTAAATGTGATTTTAATTAATCAATGATTCATTGGCTCGGGGTGGTTAAATCATTGATCCATTCAATGTTTTTTAGTTGTTTTTTATTCTAATTATCTTTTTTATTTTTTATTTGTCAGAATAGGTTGTTAATTCAAACCGAACTGGTGGTCAGAACGGTTCCAGTTTTAGGTCGATTTTCTAAACATTGGTTTTTTTAAGTTAGTATTAGAGCTTGTTTGACTAAATGGTCTGGTGTTTGATCTTTTTTGCCTCATTATATATAATTAAATTTTAACATAAAGTATGAATTGATTTGTATTAATTCACACTTTAGAGAATAAAAACCTATTCATAGATCTCACATAACAGCTTTAAATTTTTTAGATTGAACGGTTCTTTCATCAGAATGTAATCTTTGATATTATAAGGTTATTCTTGGTTTGATAGAAAATAAAAAAGTTGAGAAAGGGTTTCTAACACAAACAATTTGTGCAAATCCAACCTTTTCTCAATTATATATTTATTTCTTATTTTTCATATCAAACCAAACATAGCCCAAGAGATTAGTAAAAGAATCCATATCTAGTGAATTAAGCCTTGCAAGACAGGCCACCTTTACGTGATTAATCAACTAATTAATTGTCATTAATGTGATTAGTGTGAGAAATGCTTTAATTAAGAGTGGGTCCCTCAGGTACAGTGTCCTTGGAATAATTGGTACACGAAAATTATTTAAATATATTAACATGGAAAACGAGTGATCTCTGGTAGATGTTGGTGTGCTATCAACGGTTGTGGGTGGGTCCCTCACGAATCAATGGTTGGTTTATCCAATAAATTATTAAATAATAGGTCTATCTCATGGAGGTAAGGCACGTGTATGATGTATCAATTGGTTGGACTTAGACAGGTCTAAACCGTTTGAGACGTGGCCATATATATATAAGCTTTTCTGTCTCCCCGGAGGCAATAGACAACCCACTTAAAGTCAGGCCAAGGAACCCTGATTACAATTTCCTATATTAATAATTTTTCTTTCAAAAGTTGGGAAATAACCAATGGCTTTAGCCTTCTAATTGTAGCCAGGGGTGGAGTCAAGTATATTGGTGGGCCCTTAGCCTTTTTAAACTTTTTATTAAGATTATTATTTATTAGGGGTGCTCACGGTTCGGTTATCTGAATCGTGGGGAGTTTTTTGGATCGAACCAGTAGTATTGGTTTTTGAAAAACTGGTAATTGGAATCGAACCAAAATCAATAGGTTAATCGGTTGATCGATTCGGTTAATTGACGATTTGGTTCATCGATTTTTTTGAATTTATAATATTTATTATAAAAATATATAAATATATAATAAAATATTATATTTAAATAATAAATAATAGATAACATATTATAAATATATATATTACAGAAACATTTAGCTAATGAACAGCCCTAAATTTGCCTAAGTCAAATTTAAACTAGCACAAATCACATTGAGAAGCTTACAATGAAAAGAATTGATGATAAAGATGAAGATCTTCGCAACTTCCTATTTTGTCGTAAACACTAAGAAAAATATAAAGTAATATGTATTTTATGCCTTAACCAGCTCTTTTTCAGCCATAGCTTTTTTGAGGGATAAGGTTTTTTGCGTCACCCAGATGAGATCAGCAATCTAGATCATGCCAGAAAGACGTGATATTGAAAAAAAACTTACAATCAATCAACGGTATCATAAAAGTAGTAACTAGTCAAATGATTTTTCATCAAAAAAATAAAATTATGAAAATATTGATACAAGCAGTGGGACCGACCATTCTATGTTAAAGGTAATGATCATCCTTTAAAGTAGTTTAGTGATGTCTGTGAAGTTGCTATGAACTGTGCTATCTAAGTAGTAGATCTCAATTAGTAGAGCGACCATGGAGGTGGTGGTGCAGGGTAGTTCGACTTTAGTCAGGGCAAAGCCTATTCGAGTAGTTTTTATTGCCTTATCTCCATATATGGAAAAGATATGATATCTAAAAAATAACTGTCCAATAAATTAGAATCATAAAAGTGGTGGCGAATAAGATGTCTTTTTATCATTTTTATGTTTTCTTAATTGAAATATATATATATATATATATATATATTTATTTATATATATAACAACCAACCCAACATGTAAGTATATATATGTAGCTCGCCATTACTGGAATTACAATGGAGACCTTAAATATAGTCTACATAGAGAAATCCCAGCCAAAAAAGACGGAGCAATTAAATTAAATAAGGCGATGAGAGATATCTGAGGCCCTAGATCAACCGAGACACTTTTGTAATAGCACAATGACACTTTATCAAAATGATGCAAAGCTCACACACTTACGATGAGTACAAGAGGCCATCCAAGACTTGTTATAGGCATGAAATGCCTTTTAGGACTAGGACCTATGATGAGCACAAAGTGCTATCCAAGACCTATGATGGGTATGAAATGATATCACAGGTTTGTGATAGACCTATTACACTACCAACACCCTGTGATTAGCATAGAATAGTAGCACATGCCGTGATGAACAATAGATAAAGCCCAACGAGCTGTGACTTGCGCTTCTTTTGGTCACAACGAGCTGTGACAAGATGCCTTGAGGATGATTAATGAGACATTCGAACACGTCAACCAAACCAAGATATTGTCCTTAACGCATGGCCATGAGAGAACCCATAAAGAGATGTAGCCAACACATGATATGCAAGAATTCTCAAGAAAAATGAAACTTTATTCCTAGAGGATCTCGCTGGACATGTGGCGAAACCCCAATGGTATTCGTTTGATAGACAATATAAAAACAAAGATCTCCTTTCCTAATAGGGAACGTCTTATTTTAAACTCTTCTCCTTATAGCCTTTGGATCTTCTCTATAAAAAGAAAGAAGAGACAAGCCGCGGGATACGGGAATTCTAAGAATTCATCGGCCAAAGCCCCTTAACCTACTCTTCCCCAGAAAATTAAGCTTACATACAATCTTAACCCAAGACCAATCCCATCTTTTTCCTTCAAGGGGATCAATCTACATCGCCTTACCACCACACTTGCACAATCCACCCATTTCCACCTCTCTAACTATGTTCATTAGGTGATGTATTAGACATTTTTAAATGCCTAAGTTACTCTTTTGAATGAAATTGCCTTGTATTTGCCATTTCTATGGTTACATCAACCCAATCCAGCAAAACAATTTTCTTCCTGTTCAAGCAAAAATCATCCAAAGGGATAAGTTGAAATTTTGAAAATGTATAATAACGCTAAGTTAGAATTTTAAGGTCTGTTTGGTTCGCAATCGGAATTGGAATCGAAATCCTCTGGAATCGGAATCGGAATGGCCTATTCCCATAATATGTTTGGTTCAGATAGTAACAGGAATAGGAACTAAAATCAGCAGGAATGATATTTCATTCCCAAGGGAGGGGTAGGGAATGGCTATTCCCTCAAATGGGGAATGCCATTCCAACAGGAATAGAAATGGGATTCCGATTCTGCCCAACCAAATAGATGGAATCGGAATAGCCCACTCCAATTCCAATTTTAAACCCCTATTCCCATGAACCAAACGGGGCCTTAGATATTTATTAAAAGGTAGATAAATGATGCACAAAGGATTAATGCCCTGTTTGTATTTCCTCCACTTTTCTCTAATACTTCAGCTCAATCTATTACTGATGTCTCAACACAT